GTACCTGTGTATAAAGCACCATTCTAAGGACACAAATGCGTGCACACGTGTGTGTGTGTGTGTGTGTGTGTGTGTCTATCCCTGTCCTTAAGGTGCTTATATACTGTCACACAATTTTTCATGACCTTCAGTATTTTATCTTGGCTTTAAAGTAGCACGGAGGGACAGGAACTTATACATTGGCCATTCCCTTTCTCCCTTTTCTGTTCATGTCATTTTGTTGTTGTTGAGTTTTAGCCACGTCCAACTCTTTGTGACCCCGTTTGTGTTCTCTTGGCAAAGAGACTAGAGTAGTTTCCCATTTCCTTTTCCAGCTCATTTTATAGATAAGGAACTGAGGTATACGGTGTCAGGTGACTTTCCCAGGGTCATGTAGCCAGTAAATGTCTGAAGTTGGATTTGAACTCTGGTCTTCATGACTCCAGGCCTGACATTATATCCACTGTGTCACCTAGCTGCCTTTCTTCATGTCATTTAAAAAGTATTTATTGGGCACCTGTTCTTTGCTTAGTGCTATACTAGGCCTAGCAGAGGGGATGTACAGAAGAAATTAAAGTCCAGATCACCATCCTCAAGAATATTGGGAAAGGCAAACCCACTTGACTACTCAATCAATCACTCAGTCAGTAAGTATTTTTTAAGTGCCTCCTATGTTCCAGGTACTGCTAGTGGCATGAGTTAAGACACTCAGTAGCTACCATGGTCATAGTAGGGAGTTCTGAAGTGAGAAGACCTGGTTTCAAATGCTGCGTTTGATGCTTACAACCTGTGTGACCTTGAGATATTAAGTACAAAGAGTGAAACAATCCCTATTCACTAGGAGCTTATAGGGCAGACGAAGAGTACACATGTAAATATTCACAGCATAAATAGAAAGTCACTAAATATAAATATGTACAAAGTAGTTAAATACAAGGTAGCCTAGGAGAGATGGCCTTAGAAATTGAGGGGAATCAGGAAAAATTTCATGCTAGTGCTTGAGCTATATCATAATAGAGAAGATTCAGGAACTGGTAAGGAGGATGTGAATTGAAGGCATGTGGGATGGTCAGGAAGAATATAATTGAACAGTAAATTCTGTTGTCAAGACTCTAAATGCTACAGTATTTTACAGGAGAGGGAGATGAATGAGAGCCAGAGTGGGTTTATTGGGCAGAGAGGGGGAAAATTTGAGTCAAGAACTGGGAATTCTCTCCCATTTGTTTTCCCCAAAACCCTACTTTGTGGCCCCCTCCCCCCAAAAAAACCTCATGGAAAAATAAGTTTTCATTTTGTTTTGTTAATACTTTCTATTTTCTTTTCCTGTGAACTGATTATGTTAGCTCTCTGTCTCTGTCTCTGTCTCTCTCTCTCTCTCTCTCTCTCTCTCTCTCTCTCTCTCTCTGTTCTTTGTCTCTCCTTTTATCTCTCTCTGTGTCTCTGTTTCTGTCTCTCTGTCTCTCTTTCCCCTCCCCACTCCTTCCCTTCTCTCTCTCTCTCTCTCTCTCTCTCTCTCTCTCTCTCTCTCTCTCTCTCTCTCCCTCTCTTTCCTCATCTCTCTCCCTCTCCCCTTCTGTCTCTCCCCCCGCTCCCAGCTTTGTGTCTCTCAGTCTTCTCTCTTCATTCCTCTCCCCTCTCCTCCCTCCCTCTGTCCCTCCCTCTCCTCCCCCATCTCCATCCCTTTCCCCGGCTCCATTCCTCCTACAATCTTATTTTTGTTTATAACATCTGTAGGTTCTGCTAACCTGCTGATTCACTGTGTGCCGCATCATGTTTTAAATAAGGAAGAGATGAGACTGACTTCCAGGGGAACTATTCTGTACGCTACCCACTCCCACTGACTGTGAATGTGGTGCCATCTTTCTTTGTGATTTTTTTTTAAATTAGAGATTTTACAGAAGTCTGCATGGTCTGGTATAGGGGTGAGTGATCCCTGTTCTCTGCTGGTGGTGGTCTTCCCTTCTTCTCTAGACTTATCTGTTTCTTTTCCCTTTCTTCTTTCTGCCTAGACCTTTATCTTCCCTCTTCCTTTCTTATCTCTTAATCTCTATAAATTGAAGTCTTCATTGAAGACTTCTGCCAACCCTTCCCTCCTCCACCTCTTCTTCTCCCGTTCTATCCCTTTCATTTTCCTCTGCCTTCCATCCGATAGCTTACACTTTCCAATACCTATAAGCTTTAAAAGGATTCCTGCAGTCTCTGACTGCCAAGGTAATTTAACCTTAGAGATGGAAGGAACTCTAGAACAGAGATTCTTAGACATTTTTGTGTCTTCCCTTTGGCATTCTGGAGCTTTTGTTTTCTCAGAATAATGTTTTTAAATGCTTAAAATAATATGCATACAATTCTAAAGCAAACCTATTACACTGCAGTGTTGTTATAAAAAAAAAAAAGACTCCATGTTAAGAACTGTGCTCTAGAGATCATCTAGTTTAACCATTACAGTGTGGCAAGTATCCATCCTCCATGTAAATAAAAATGAGAGAATTGTATCCCCAAATACAGCCAAAGAAGTTACCGAGGTGTGGCTGATCTTATGGCAAAGTCATCCTTACCCACTCCTTGGTGTCCTCTGTGCCTGAGGACGTAGTCTCCATGAACAACTTGTGGGCCTTCTCCACATGGCACAGAAGAACAAGAGAAGAGCCACCTAGGAACGCCAGGCCTCATGGAGCCATCTTGCTTTGCCATAAAACGCTGCTCATTTTGCCCTTCTGCTCCTTTCTCCTGTTAAAACAGTGAGCGCCCCTGTGGCCACAGCGTCCTGTCCTTTACGCCATCTCTTGTACGCATCCTCTTTTCTCCAGTCATGTGGCAGCCTTCTTGGGGGCAGACCTTCATTGCCTCACCCCTGAAATCCTGTAGTTACTTGCTGTTCGGTCTCCATGCCTCCATCGTCCACTCAGCTGGCAAAGTCATTTTTCTAAATTGTAGATCTGACTGTGTCACCTCACTGCTCAGTGATTGCCAGTAGCTCCCTATTACCTCCAGAATCAAATATAAAATCCTCTGATGTTTAAAATCCTTCGTAACCTGGCCGCCTTCCTACATTTCCATTCTTGGAAAGTATTCCACTTTGCTCCACATACTCTACTATATATCAACACCCACCTTTTTGCTGTCCCTCACTTACATCCCCATCTCCCTTCTCTGGGCATTTTCCTTAACTGTCACCCATGCTTGGAATACTCTCTTTCTTTATATCTGCTTCCGGGCTTCCCTGAGTTCAAATCCCACTTCCTAGGAGAGGCCTTTCTGGGTTCCTTCCCACACTTACCAGTGCCTTCTCTCTGACGTCACCTAACATTTGTACTGTGTTTGTCTTGCCTGTACATAGTTGTTCTACATTTCCTCTCCCAAGTGGTTGAGAAGATTGTGTGTATCTACAGGACAGAACTAGATACATTGGGAAATTGCAGAGGGAGAGATTTGAGTTTGATAAAAGAGAAAAGCTTGAAAAGAATTGGAGCTATCCAGGAATGGAATGGCCTCCTTCTGGAACTAGTGATTTCCCTATCACTGGAGACAAAGGTTAGATGACCACTGGACAGGAATGTTGTAGAAGGGATTCTTGTTTAGATGTGGGTTGGAGTCTTTGACCTCTGGAATTCTTTTGTAATAATGATACTAGTAATAATAGCTAACTTCTGTGTAGCAAGTACCATGTGCCAGACAAAGCACTTTACAATTATTATCTCATTTGACCTCAGAACAAACCCTGGGTGGTATTACTATCTCTATTTTACAGATGAGGAAACTGAGGGAAACAAAGGTTAGTGATTTACCCAAGGTCACAACAGCTAGTGTCTGAGTCTGGATTTGAACTTGGGTCTTTCTGACTCCAGGCCTAGCACTCTATCTGCTGTACCACCTAGCCACCTTCCCTCCCCTCGGTTCTTAAGATTCTGTGATTCTTTGCAAAAGTAGCATCCAAGACTATTTGTCTCAGCATTTTAAAATACAACACTTTGGGGAGGTCTGGGGTTCAAATAAACAGATTACTTTTGTCAAGTCCCTTTTACTTCTTTTTACCTTATTTTCCTTAACTGTAAAATGAGGGGACAGTGGATGGGACAAACTTCCTTCCATATCTAGCATTCTGTCACTCAAAGTAAAATTATGTGCAAATATTGCAAAGAATTGCTGCTTTGTCAGCTTGAGGAAGTCCCAGTATGGAAACTCCCTCCACCTATATAGTCCTATCTAGAACTTATTAGATGAGGCCTATTGAATTTCTTGAGGCACATAGAAATTAAGTGATTTGCTTGGAACCACACAGCTAGTAAGTGTAACAGGCAGGATTTGAATCCAAGATTTCTTGACCACAAACCCAGCCACCTCTGAGTAAAATTAAATCATGTGTTTTGTCAAGGGATTTACTGAAGTGCATACATATGACAAGTCCTGGTCCTTTTTTTGTGTGTGCTTTTTAAAATTTTTTTTTTTAATTTGTGAAGCCCTACCTCTATTGTGATTTCTTAATAAATCCATGTTCTTCTCCTGCCCCCTTGTGAGTGGTAGTAGTCACAGAAAGCAATATAATCCTGGAAGCACATAAGGTGTTGACATAAAGAAATAAAATGGTAATATGATAAAATGGGAACCTGATTTTTGTGGGTTTAGGATTAGGAGCGGACCCTCTGGCCTCAGGCAGGGTAATTAACTGCTCATTTTGTTCATCTCTAAGTGAGGTTCTTGAGAAAGCTGAACAGGGCCAGAGAGTGTCAAATGCTGATGAAGTGATTACAAGGTGGGTCACACCCTGGCTTGTGAAGGAAAAACTGTCTGCTTAGAGAAAGATGGCTTGTTGCCCACGTGGGGAAGGAGGCCTGCCAAGCATGGCCCGGAGGAGGAAGGTAGGAAGTAAAGGTATATTGGATTGTGCAGTGAGCTGAAGTCATTTTTCACTTTGAGCAAAAGAGAATCTATCAGGTTCAATTTTAGTCTCTTTCTTGTGTTTTCCTTTATCAGATTCTTTTTTTTTTCCCTCAACACTGAAATGCTGAGTATTTTTTCTGCAGGATGAACAGCTAAAGTCACACGAAAGCAAGCTCAAGCAGATTTCCACAGAATTGGCTGAGCATCGCTCGTACCCACCTGACAAGAAAGTCAAAGCTAAGGAGATTGATGAATACAAACTGAAAGACCACTACCTGGAGTTTGAGGTATGGGTGGATCGTTGCACCGGCCCGAGAGTCCAGACTCTCTTTCCTCCCTCCTCCCCTTCCTCTTCCCTTCCCTCTCAGTCTCCCTGTCTTCCTCCCTCTCCTTCTCCCTCCTCTTTTTCTCCCTGGAGTTTAGAGATTTAGGAAACTATATGCTCATTGTTTGTATTACATATTCATAAGCAGATATACATATATATGCTTTTATATGCATAAAATAAATATTATGAAACCTATGGCTTCAAGAAAGAGGAAGGCAGGTAGATGGAAGTCAGAGATCCCCATGCTTGACTCTAGTTTCCCCAGAAAGTAACTGGTCAACTCCATAAGACTCAATTCTTGACATCCTAGAGTATTTATTATTTGATTCAAAGGACAGGCAAGGTATCAGGAGCATCCCCTACCTGAAGACTACCTACAAACAACTCGCCTGATTAGTGGGAGGGTGAGGGTTAGGATTCTTGGATCTGTTCACTTGGAAGATCAATCATGGGAGATGTCAGATTTCTGGGGCTCAGAATTGCAAAATTCCGGTGTTGGAAGGTCTGCGGAGTCACCTACAGAGAGAAACAATGGTAGTACATTGGAAAGAACAGTAGCTTCAGAATCAGAAGGTCTGGCTAGAAATCCTGTTTCTACTGTTTGCTACACTTGTTATCTTGGTCAGGCTTCCCTGAGGCCTGCTAAGAGTTTAATTTGGTGGGGTGAGGTGCAGATGGTCCAGACCCATAATTTAATCATCGTAGGGAACTGTGGGTGAGGAAACTTCCTCTACCAGTACAGATTAGCAAATATTTTCCAACCTGTATTCTTAAGGAGGTCACATAACTAACATATGTTGGAACTGGAACTTAAATCCAGGTCCTGACTTCAAGGTCAGCTGTGCACACTGCTACTCAATAAGCTTTACATTTATTCCTATTAAATGTTAGATTTAGCCCAGTGATGTTAAATTCATGTGGAAATGGGGGCCACTAAACCATATATAAGGATCCTTGTGGGCCACATATTGACTTAGAAAACCACACATTAATAGTGTCTGGGTTTTATTGGGCTTTAAAATTTGTTTTAAATATTTTCCAATTGTATTTTTTATTAATTTATTTTGATTTATCAACCATCACTTCCATAAGCTTTTGAATTTAAAATTTTTCTCCCTCTCCTTTCCCACCTCCCTCCCCAACATGGCACACAATCTGATGTAGGCTATACATTTACATTCCTATTAAACATATTTTCACATTAGTGATGTTATAAGAATTACAACCAATAGAAGGAACCACCAGAAAAAGGAAACAAAACACAACAGAAGAAAAAAATAATAGCAAATAGTATGCTTCGATCTGCATTCAAACTCTATAGTTCTTTCTTTGGATATAGATAGCATTTTCCATCATGAGGCCTTTGGAGATGTCTTAGACCCTTGTATTGCTGAGAAGGATTAAGTCTATCAATATTAATCATCGCACAACGTGGCTGTTACTGTGTACAACGTTCTCTTGGTTCTGCTCGCTTCACTCAGCATGAGACCATACAAGTCTTTCCAGGTTTTTCTGAAGCCTGCCTGTTCATCATTTCTTATAGCACAATAGTATTCCATTACATTCATATACCATAACTTTTTCAGCCATTCCCCAGTTGGTGGGTATCCTCTCAATTTCCAATTCTTTGCCATCATGAAAAGAGCTGCTATGAATATTTTTTGTACGTATGGGTCCTTTTCCCATTTGTATGATCTCTTTGGGATATAGCCCTAGAAGTGTTATTGCTGGGTCAAAGGGCCCAAGTACATTTTTAATCTGGTTCAATCCACACTCAGGAGTGGTATGGGCCACATTTTTGACACCTCTGTTCTAGACTGTCAAGACTTTCTGGATCCTGACTCCCTTATTCAGTGTGTTAGCTGTCCCTTCCATCTTTATGTCAGCTGCAGTTTGAGTAATCATGTCGTCTGTACCTTTATCTGAGTCACTGAAAACACTAGACATGGGATAGGGCCAAGCACCAGTCTCTGGGATACTCCACTGGAGACCTCCTGCTTTATTGACATTGAACATTGAACACTAATCTGAGTCCAGCCATTCAACCAGTTTTGAACTTGTCTTCCCTTCTGTATTCCATAAGAATAGTATAAGATACTTTATCAAATGATGTACTAAAAATTTAGGTAAACTCTTAACTGTGACATTGTCCTGATCTACTGGTTTAGTAATAACCCTGTCCATAAAAGGTTAGTTTGGCATTCCTCCCACTTCCTGCCCCCGCCAACTGCATCTTTTTTAATTTCTTTGACTTCACATTAGGCTCTTAATGATTTTTTCCCATCCCTTTCTATATTTGTAATGTTCATCATGTTTTATAGCATAGTATTCCATTGCATTCATATACCACAATATGTTTAGCCATTCCCAATCCATGGTCATTTACTTCATTTGCAGTTGTTGGTTTATATATATAAAATGTTGTTATAAATACTTTGATCTATATGGGTGTTTTTGTTTTTAGTATTTACTTACTTAAGGAATATGCCCAGCCGTCATATCTGTAGGTCAAAGGCTGTGGATGCTTTTGTTCCTTTATGAGCATAATTGCAGATCTCTTTCTAGAATGATCATACCAATTTGTAGCTTCTTCAGCTATGCATTAGTGTAATTGTTTTCCCCCGACTCTTCCAACATTGACGTTCCTGATTTTGTCACGTTGGACAACGTGCTAGATGTGAGACAGAACCTTGAATTGTTTTGATTTGCATTTCTTTCATTATTAGTGACCTAGACGGTTCTATCATATGGTTGCTTTTTGTTGCATTTCTTTTTTTTGGAACTGTTTGTATGTTTTTATTCTTTACCACTTAGCTATTGGGTGGTAGCTTTTAGTCCCATACTCTTATATTCAACCTGCCCTCTTCTGTAACCTACCTTCTTTGGCTGTTCTGATTTAGTTGCTCTGTTTTCACATTCTGCAACCTTAATAAAGGTTTTATTTTGTAATCTACAGAGTAATAAATAGATTACAGTAGTGTAGAGCCTATGCATATATGCGTGTTTGTGTGTGTGTGTGTGTGTGTGTGTGTGTGTGTGTGTGTGTGTACACACACACATATGGATATACATGTGAAATCATATGAGGCCTGTGGTTGAAAGACCCTTTGCAGCTGTGATGAGCTATGAGATAGATACATATACATACACACATATCTTTGTTTTCACGTTGGTATTGTGATAGATGCCGTTACCATTACCAATGTGGTCAGACCATTACCACATTGATAATTTCTCTAGATGCTCTCCAAACCTTGACGCTTTCCTTTCCAGTTTGAAAAGTCATTCACTGGTCATATGGGACAGAAGGACTAATGCAGAAAAACCTCAGGATAGCATTGTTTTTCAACAAGCGCATCCTTTCTGTCTGCAGGTAATTGTACATCAAGAAAGGTCTTCCAGGCAGCAAAAGATCTGTCCTTACTCTCCAGATATCTGAGGAAGACAGCTCTTATTATGAAACAGTAACCTTGACCATTCATCCATGCATTCTTTTGGGGAACTCTGGGATTTGTGAAAGAATGAAAAATGCCCAGAGTTCAGCATTTGTCTTGCTTGCCCTCGGGGAAGAGGAGTTCTCTAAAAGCAATCACAGTTCTTCACACTTCCAAAGGGGCTTTCAGCCACACACCCCGTTTGATTTCACACATGTTAATTAACTTTTACAACACTTCCCAGCACTCAGATACTCACCTTCAGCTTCTGATTCAGAGTGGTCAGACCTTTTCCCCAGGTTGCCACAAATGACAGTGAGACAGCCCAAAGAACAGTTGTTAGCACTGATTCTCAGGAATGGAAATCCAAGAGGAAGCAGTATTTTAGCTTCCAGAAATGGACTTGGCTTAAGTCTTTGTCACTTTTCCCAAAGCCTTCTTAAATTTTTCATCTCCTGAATCTTTAGAATTTTTTCTGTTATATTTGACCATCCTCTGTTAATTGTAATCAAACTCTTCAAGGTACTGTAATAGATCTGTGGTGCTAGTATAATTACAAACTAAACTATCTTAGCATCGTAGAGGGATCTTAGAACCAGAAAGATCAAGGAGTCTGACTCTCTTAGTTGTGGATGAGGAAATTAAGACCCCGAAAATGGCACTGACCTGCCCAAGGTTATAAAACCAGTGGTAGTAGAGTCAGTATCCCAACCAGACTCCTCTGATTCCAAACTGAGTAACTTTTCTGCTCTCCCAGACTCTCTTGCCTCATGTTCTGCAAAGAATTTGTAGGGGTATGCCTCAATTTTCCCAGGTAATGTGTTTCCAAAAAGCTAAATGGGATATGAATTTCTGTAATGTGAATTTTACCGCTAACTTGTAATGAGATTGCATAAAGGAAGCAATATAGTATAATGGAAAAAGCATTGAACTTAAGGTTCAGAGACCTAAGGTCAAGTCCATACTCTCCCTTAGTAGCAGTAAAACCTTATGCCAACCACAGCTAGGTTCCTAATGATGGGGTATAGGCTCTGCCCACCCGCCTTTGAATTTTCCCATGATTTTCAGGAACTCAGTCCCTGAACCCAGATCCCTGGCCTTAGTCTGAGACATCAGCACATCAGCTCATTCCAGTATAATCCTTTCACCTGTCCTTTCATTGTGGCCCCTGACCCAGCCGTCTTCCATTCTCTGTCACCTCAAGACCACCCCAGGCTATTCATCACTCCTTAATCCCATCCAAATCTTCCCACAATCTTTTTCCCTATAAAAATATCAGCCCTGTCCCTATCAAATGCACAGACTCACTAGGAATCTCGCCTACCACAACTGGTGTTTTAATAAACTACTTGGACTGAAAGAAGGCTTGAGTGGTCGAATTCTTTCATGGCAGACCTGTGCCCTCTGTCCTTGAACTTGGGGGTTTCCAAGACCCCTAGACCGCAACACTTAGTACGAACAGTGAATCCACTGAAGTGGCCACATTATTTGAATCTATACTGAGGATTTCCATTGGGCTGGAAAC